TTGTTGATTCACTCTTTTTCATTTCATGACCAGTCACGCCCCCCTCCCCCTGGTAATGTTTTTCAATGCACATGCCGTTGTCCTTAGCGTCACGCTACAGCGACCGAAAATCGCTTGTGCGAATGAGGTTAAGACTCAGTCGGAAGAACCTTGAAGGAGGTGGCAGTGGCGCAATGGCATAGCAGTTCGAGTTGCACTTTAGAGGTGTTAGAATTCAAACCCAACGGGCGGCGTGAAGTTTACTGTATTAACTGCTACTTTCCTTGAGCAAGGAATTCACCTATTCGTTACAACCAGCTGCGAATCGAGTATCAAGTCGTCGACCTGCGAATAATGGGGACTTAGGGTGTTTTGGTGTGGTTTTGCTAGAGCATGCAAGACATACCACTATCTTGTCTGTCAGGTGCATTTTAGGGCTGTATTCTGGCTTGACCCCTCTGACCACGTAGTCTATCGTTTGAAAATCAGCACAATGGAAAATCGATAGCTTTATTTTGCTTATTCTGCTTGCGTACTGTTTGAATGACATATATACCATATGCCTATGACCAGAATTGGAATTTAATTAGCACAATTCTCTGCATTGAGGTTGCGCGGCGTTACGGCTCCGTTCACTTCTTCTAGAGGCCTAGAAATCCATTTATTCAGCTGATTCAACACAATGGTCCGATTTTGCAACCATGCCTTACAGGTTCCATAATGCCATGCAACCATGGTCTGCTTCAGAAATCCCTTAGGCCTATGGCTATAAGCCATGACTTTTCTAAGCACCGGTTTCCGAAATTAGCTTTCGTTGGATAATAATGAACATAATTAACATTCCTGACTACATTATACTATATGGTAGCCCATTTTGATTATTTCCAGTTTAGTCCTAAGTGCATGCGGCGTTGAATCTGTTAACAACAGTTAGCCTTATTCAACATACGATATTTTACGATTTCTGAAACTTATTTCACTTCTGTGTTTTCTTCTTAAATAAACTGGCCCTGCAGTAGTTTAAGAAACAACAACAGGCAGACTGAAGGTGATCTTTGCTAGAACTGCCATCGTTTTAGCCAAACTACATTGATCGTCATAACGGCAAACAACGAGCATCTTATTGTTCTCTCTGAGGATGGCAAATGTTGTTGGGTTGAAAAGTCGGCAGTTCTAGAAATGGCTTCCATCAGTCTGTTCTGTTATGATTAAGGTAGCAGAATTGCCTATTTATTTGACACGTAATTTCAATGAGGGTCAACTACCTGATCTTAGCAGCTATATTGTTGAGGTACAGTTTGAAGGTGGATTCCGATTTGGGAACTTGCTTTGTTACACTTCACTTAGCACGCTGAATATTGTAAATGGTGATGACGTTCCCGTTTTGCTTGTTACCGTTTGCCACTAGTTTTCTTTCGTGCCTTATATCTTACATAATTCATAACCAATCGTTATGCTCGCTGAGGATTTGTCGACTTGTGGAACCCTTCTTCGTCATTGCCATTTTTTTCAAGACAACCATGAATTTGACCAGTCTTGTCCCCTGATCTTTTCCAGCTTTATTAGGTGCACTTTTCTGGTTGAAAGTCGACTTTCAACGCTCTGCTTGCCGTATGTCCACAGTACATGACAGACTAAAGATGGAGAGCTGCAGACTTTTATTTCATTAAAGAGATGGTTGACATTATTCGGTGTTTTGAAAATTTCACCAGCAGCCTCTCGGGTGTTATCGGCAGTTGAGCATTCGTAATTTTACCGATTACCAGGGAGTTAAACATTTTGGAATATGTTTGTGAGTAATATTTCACCAGACCGGTTTAAATAGCATTGCAGCACATCGCCATCCCCCCTTAGTTACATGGGGAACCATTTCATCTGGCGGCAGCTCCAAGCGATTGTAGCATATGCAACACACTTTATATCGCTTCACTGACTAAAGTAATGTAAATAATGAGGTCATGCACTAAAACGCGTCAGTCATGATTCGGGAAATTAAATTTATGAAATTCGATCTACCTTGAAATATTGATGGCAATAGCGAATCATAACCAATGATTCATCGGTCCCTCTAGAAATCAAGCGATCAACATCAGGCTGATCTCAACAGTTAAATTAGTGCTATTAGAGCAATTGATACGAGCAATACCATTACAATATTCGTACTCGATGATCATATTAAATCTTTTCAACGTATCTCAGCCTACATGCTGGACACAGAAAGTTATGAAAACGGAAAAGTGTCCATTTTTGTTAATTCGTTTTCATACAACCATATTTTGAAAGCAGCGGTTTATTAAATTCAGCTTTTGTTTGATTCGGCTAAAACAGGTAAACATTTCGCTCCATGACCAGTTTTACACGGTTTCGAAAAAACAGCAGTTCCACTAATATATAGGCACTTTATAGCGCCATGCGATACCGTTATAGCCATTACCCTCTATAAAATTTATAGAGTATAGCCATTGGCTATAGCTCTATAAACGGCAACGTAGCCTGTTCTACATTAGCGGCTAGTAAGGTAGGGGTAGTCGATTTTCTACTCCCTTTTTATTAGCTTCTTCCGAGCATATGAGGTAAATTTATTGGTTAAAAAAATAGAAGTCATTTAAAAGAGAAGTAGTAAGTAAGAAATGAAAGAGGAGGAAGGGGGATAGCTGGATGGGAGGTATGAAAATAAGGAAGTGTGAGAGGTAGGAATGAAACCAGTTGCAGATAATGTGGCAGTGAATTCGGCGGTTTATTTGTTTGATCTTTCTCCGCGATCAGTTCTGTTTAACGTGAACCCAGATGTTCATGCAAGTACTGCTACAAATCGACCAGGTACACAATCAGTGCCCCCTAGTAAGCCAAACTGTGCACCAGGGTAATTTGAACTGTGCTATGAACGCGAAGGAGGTTTTAGAATAGTGCTGCATCGCACTCTGATTAAACGCTCTCTCTCTTTTGGCTACTAGAAACAAGGATCACTTCGGTTATGCTATATTATCAGGATAAACGGCGCTTCTTAATCTGCTTGCTGTGTCAAAGAGAACAGTCCGGAGGGTAACCTAATTATCCTCTCTGTAATACCCCGCTCTGTTCATGATAGATCACACAATGCACAGTTTTGCAGCAC